TGGACGTTGTCGTGCGTGTTGACGTGCGCTGCGCACGTCTACGCGCATGACTACAGCAGCGCGGTGCTGGACTGCGGGGTACTGGCGACGCGTGCGCACTACTGGTGTGCGGACACTACCAGCGTGCCTGCTGGAACTGCCGGGCGTGCTGCGCGCACGCTGTGTGCGGCCAGGCACTTCGGTCGGCCTTTCGCCGGCCGTCCGGCTACTTTTTCCGGCAACCCTTATATGACTGATCATAAAATGACTTAAAATGACTAAATATACATAAATTGCTCGGGACTTGTCGGTTCTATTTTGAAATCACTCGGGAGGGCTTATATAGCTCCTCCGAGTGCGTTTTTGCTATAAATTTTGGACCGAACGATATGGTATTGACATGATCTTCCTAACATGAACTTAAATATATGAAGAGAGGGTAAATAAGAGTATACCCTTCCGCTTGGTCGAGGAACGCACAATGACTTGCGCGTGTGATCGGTGCTCGGCTTGGTGTGCGAGTGCTTCTCCTTTACTTCGGCTTTCCTTAGCTATTTTTCTATAATTTTTCTATGATATTTTCCTCACTATTTTCCCTCAATTGTACGCTGAAGTTGGCTCAAGTTCGTGCATGAAAGTGCATGAGAACAACCAACATGCTCGGTTATTTATGGTGGTGAAAATCGTGGATAGAATTGGGTCAAAGGAGGTGAAAGATGACAACATCTCCCTTGATTACACGTGCTCCAAACAGGTGCTGAGGTGGGATGTTTGTGGCTTAGTCATCGGTCGATGTGGCGGGCATGCACGGGCTTAGTCACCGCTCTCGGCCCCGTGCGCCCGCCATGTGTGCAAGCAAATAGGTGACTCATAGTCACCACTTGCTCCAACATTTATCCTTTGGTTAATCTCCACGGTAATCTTAAGGAAGAGAGTTTGGATTTGCTTAGCTTGATCGTGTTGCTTAAAGGAACATAAGCGTGCACTTAGTGGCTTAACCGTGCGCAGGCACGGCGTGCGTGCGTGCGTGCATGATGCGCACGTCCGAGTCTTAATCATGAACTTAGCCTCGAAATTAAATCCGAACATTCTTAACTTTCAATAATTAATCCCGACTAGTAATATCCATTTATAAAATAAACAGTTCGGAAATTAATTATTGAATTTGGCTCGGTTAATAATTAACCGAATAAACTTTTCGACTTAAAGTCGAACTTATTCACTTTAAATGCTGAAAATGAACAAGATTAATAAAAGAAAATACATCATTTCTATTAACAAGAAACTGGGTTATTACAACCCCGCCTATTATAAACTAGAACTGATGCAAAACGGAGTAAATTTTTTGCATTTTTGGTTTTCAAAACTCTGACTTAATTTTCAAAAACACTTTAACTTAAATGCGGGAGTGATACTACTTTAATCTAACTGGTTATGTGAATCGTTATCTTTAATCTGAAACTTTACCTTTAAAGATGCATGTCATCTAATAAAATGGACCCCCTTGGGATCGATGATGGTAGTCTACATGCACAACTTAAATACTGGTAATAGCTTGATGCATGCTGCCTAATAATATAAAATGGATCTCCTCGGGGATCAGGGTAGAATTCTACATGTATACATGATGTCTTAAATGTCTTGCATGCAGAAGCTGGGAAATAAACTACATAAGTCCGAATAGTTTGAAAATAAATTTATACATAACATAGAGACATAAACAAATGTCCACGCGCTCAGACCACCACACCACCTCGCTGATCACGCATCGCGCTGGACTTCATCACCTAAAGATATAATAGTGGGGGCTGAGTGCAAAATAATCGACGGTACTCCGCAGGAACCAACACTGAAATATACAACACATGTAATCATCCATCATGAAATAAGTATATACGAAAATAACTAATCTTGAATCTGGCATACTAAAACAACCGTTCTTGGCCGAGATTCATTTGCACACTCCGGGTGGCATTGTCCGCCCTAGAACCTGGATAGTGACCTGGGGACTCCCAATCTCAAGCGATAAGTAGCTGCAAAGACCACTCGGGTGTCGTTGCCCTTGGGCAAAAGTGTACTGTATCTACATACATACCTCAGACATGGTAAATGATATAAGCTGAAAATACTGTGCAAGTGTTGGTATACTGGTGTAGCTGTCGGAGGCTCGGCTCTCCTCAAGCTACCAAAATATACAAGAAAATAATCTAAGTAATTTTCTCAAATGAACTTATGATCTTGAATCTTAACACAATATAAATTAGATAAGTAGTCAAGGCAGATAAGACAACTAGAACTATTAAACACTTTAACTGGACGGGTTATCTCGGTTATTTTGGACTGATATTGAGCTTCCGAATAAAATCTGACAGATGCTCGAAAACTTAAATTATCAGTCTATCTTCATCTGGCTCTAACCAGCCAGACTCAGGTGACTTATTCCAGTCAACTATCACAAACTAGACCTTACATGCTTATAACTTCAACCATGACCAAACTTAGAACATAGACCATTTAAGTGGAATTAAAATTCATGACTTTGAAAAATCTTAAGAAATTCAAAAAATTATGAAACTTGGCAGTTAAATAATTAGCTTACCCAAGTACTTGCTGTTAAATTTTATGGTCATTTGAACATCAATAGCTTGGTCAACTCGAAACTCAAACTTAACATACAAATATGTAATATACACGCATATGTTTAATGAATTTTAATTTTTCCTACACATCATCTGAAGCTGGAACTTGGTGACCTTGATCACAGCTCAGGCAAGAAATACTCCTTAAACTTTCACAATAAAAGCTCAAGTATGGAGTGAGTTCTTTCGAAATGAACTTCAGCTTGACATGCATGCGGTCTTGCACATATAAATCCCTCATTTGAAAATTAAATGCAATTTGAAGGAAATGCTCCTCCCACTCTCTAGCTTTCTCTCTCTAGTTCCTCTCCCATCCTCCTCCCACACTAGCACCTTATCCATCCCGACCACCTTTTTTTTTTTTAGTTTT